TGGAGGGGATCAGCTATAAGGAGAGATTAGAGGAACTGAATGTATTCTCTACTGAGAAGAGGAGACTAAGGGGGGATATGATCTCCATGTATAATACATAAGGGGGGGGATATGAACTCCATGTATAATACATAAGGGGGGATATGATCACCATGTATAATACATAAGGGGGGATATGATCACCATGTATAATACATAAGGGGGGGATATGATCTCCATGTATAATACATAAGGGGGGATATGATCACCATGTATAATACATAAGGGGGGATATGATCTCCATGTATAATACATAAGGGGGGATATGATCTCCATGTATAATACATAAGGGGGATATGATCTCCATGTATAATACATAAGGGGGGATATGATCACCATGTATAATACATAAGGGGGGATATGATCTCCATGTATAATACATAAGGGGGGGATATGATCTCCATGTATAATACATAAGGGGGGATATGATCACCATGTATAATACATAAGGGGGGATATGATCTCCATGTATAATACATAAGGGGGGATATGATCTCCATGTATAATACATAAGGGGGGATATGATCTCCATGTATAATACATAAGGGGGATATGATCTCCATGTATAATACATAAGGGGGGATATGATCACCATGTATAAATACATAAGGGGGATGGATATGATCACCATGTATAATACATAAGGGGGATATGATCTCCATGTATAATACATAAGGGGGATATGATCTCCATGTATAATACATAAGGGGGGATATGATCTCCATGTATAATACATAAGGGGGGGATATGATCACCATGTATAATACATAAGGGGGGATATGATCACCATGTATAATACATAAGGGGGGGGATATGATCTCCATGTATAATACATAAGGGGGGATATGATCACCATGTATAATACATAAGGGGGGAAATGATCACAATGTATAATACATAAGGGGGGATATGATCCCCATGTATAATACATAAGGGGGGATATGATCTCCATGTATAATACATAAGGGGGGATATGATCACCATGTATAATACATAAGGGGGATATGATCTCCATGTATAAAACATAAGGGGGGATATGATCTCCATGTATAATACATAAGGGGGGATATGATCTCCATGTATAATACATAAGGGGGGATATGATCTCCATGTATAATACATAAGGGGGGGATATGATCTCCATGTATAATACATAAGGGGGGGATATGATCTCCATGTATAATACATAAGGGGGGATATATCTCCTAGATTGTAAGCTCGAAAGAGCAGGGCCCTCGAACCCCTCGTGTATCACATTGTATTGGTATTGTTCTGTCACATGTTCTATAAGGGGATATGATCTCCATGTATAATACATAAGGGGGATATGTATCTCCATGTATAATACATAAGGGGGGGATGATCTCCATGTATAATACATAAGGGGGGGATATGATCTCCATGTATAATACATAAGGGGGGATATGATCTCCATGTATAATACATAAGGGGGGATATGATCCCATGTATAATACATAAGGGGGGATATGATCTCCATGTATAATACATAAGGGGGATATGATCTCCATGTATAATACATAAGGGGGGATATGATCTCCATGTATAATACATAAGGGGGGATATGATCTCCATGTATAATACATAAGGGGGGATATGATCTCCATGTATAATAATACATAAGGGGGGATATGATCTCCATGTATAATACATAAGGGGGGGGATCTCCATGTATATACATCTCTCCTATGATAATACATCGAAAGGGGGATATGATCTCCATGTATGGTATAATACATAAGGGGGGATATGATCTCCATGTATAATACATAAGGGGGGGATATGATCTCCATGTATAATACATAAGGGGGGATATGATCTCCATGTATAATACATAAGGGGGGGATATGATCTCCATGTAATAATACATAAGGGGGGATATAATACACATAAGGGGGGATATGATCTCCATGTATAATACATAAGGGGGGATATGATCTCCATGTATAATACATAAGGGGGGTATAATATAAGGGATCTCCATGTATAATACATAAGGGGGGGGGATATGATCTCCATGTATAATACATAAGGGGGGATATGATCACCATGTATAATACATAAGGGGGGATATGATCTCCATGTATAATACATAAGGGGGGATATGATCTCCATGTATAATACATAAGGGGGGGATATGATCTCCATGTATAATACATAAGGGGGGGATATGATCTATGTATAATACATAAGGGGGGGATATGATCTCCATGTATAATACATAAGGGGGGATAAGGGGGGATATGATCTCCCATGTATAATACATAAGGGGGGATATGATCTCCATGTATAATACATAAGGGGGATAATACATAAGGGGGATATGATCTCCATGTATAATACATAAGGGGGGATATGATCTCCATGTATAATACATAAGGGGGGATATGATCTCCATGTATAATACATAAGGGGGATATGATCTCCATGTATATAATACATAAGGGGGGGATATGATCTCCATGTATAATACATAAGGGGGGGATATGATCTCCATGTATAATACATAGGGGGGATATGATCTCCATGTATAATACATAAGGGGGGGATATGATCTCCATGTATAATACATAAGGGGGGATATGATCTCCATGTATAATACATAAGGGGGGATATGATCTCCATGTATAATACATAAGGGGGGATATGATCTCCATGTATAATACATAAGGGGGATATGATCTCCATGTATAATACATAAGGGGGATATGATCTCCATGTATAATACATAAGGGGGGGATATGATCTCCATGTATAATACATAAGGGGGGATATGATCTCCATGTATAATACATAAGGGGGATATGATCACCATGTATAATACATAAGGGGGGATATGATCTCCATGTATAATACATAAGGGGGGGATATGATCTCACCATGGTATAATACATAAGGGGGGGATATGATCTCCATGTATAATACATAAGGGGGGATCTCCATGTATAATGATCTCCATGTATAATACATAAGGGGGGATATGATCTCCATGTATAATACATAAGGGGGATATGATGTATAATACTAAGGGGGGATATGATCATGTATAATACATAAGGGGGGATATGATCTCCATATGATATAATACATAAGGGGGGATATGATCTCCATGTATAATACATAAGGGGGATATGATCTCCATGTATAATAAATACATAAGGGGGGATATGATCTCTATATATAATACATAAGGGGGGATATGATCTCCATGTATAATACATAAGGGGGGGATATGATCACCATGTATAATACATAAGGGGGGGGATATGATCTCCATGTATAATACATAAGGGGGGGATATGATCTCCATGTATAATACATAAGGGGGAACTCTGATGGGGACAGTTAATGTAAGGGGTGCTCTGACTGGTCCAGTTGATTAAGGGGGCACTCTGATGGGGCAGTTTATGGAAGATAACACTTTGATGCAGACAGTTGATGAAAGGGGGCAATCTGATAAGGACCGTTGATGTAAGGGGGTGCTCTGATGGGTACAGTTGATTAAGGGGTCACTCTGATGTGGGCAGTTTATGTAAAAGGCATTTTGATGGGAACAGTAGACATAACGGGGCACTCTGATGGGGACAGTTGATGCATGGGGGCAAACTGATTTGAGCAGTTGATGAAAGGGGCAATTTGATAGGGACAGTTGACACAAGGGGGCACTCTGATAGGGACAGTTGACACAAGGGGGCACTCTGATAGGGACAGTTGACACAAGGGGGCACTCTGATGGGGACAGTTGATAAAAAGGAGCACTCTGATGGGGACAGTTGATAAAAAGGAGCACTCTGATGGGGACAGTTGATGTAAGGGGGAACTCTGATAGGGACAGTTGATTTAAAGGGTGCTCTGATAGTGACAGGTGATGAAAGGGGGCAATCTGATGGTGACAGTTGATGAAAGAGGGCAATCTGATGGTGAAAGTTGACACAAGGAAGCAATCTGATGCAGACAGTTGATGAAAGGGGGCAATCTAATGGGGACAGTTGATGAGAGGGGTGCTCTTATGGGTACAGTTGATTAAGGGGGTACGCTGAAGGGGGGCAGTTGATATAAGAGACATTCTGATGGGATGGATCGACAGTTGATGTAAGGGGGAAATCTGATAGTGACAGTTGATGTAAGGAGGAAATTTGATGGTGACAGTTGATGAAAGGGGCATTCTGATTGGAACAGTTGACATAAGGGACAATCTGATGTGGACAGTTGATGTAAGGGGTGCTCTGATGTGGACAGTTGATGGAAAGGGAAATCTGATGGGAATAGTTGATGTAAGGGGAAATCTGATGTAGACAGTTGATGTAAGGGGGCATTCTGATGGGAACAGTTGACATAAGAGGGCAGTCTGATAGAAATAGTTGATGTAAGGGTACAATCTGATGGTGGCAGTTGATGTAAAGGGGAGTCTGATAGGAAGAGTTGATGTAAGGGAACACTCTGATGTGGAAAGTCGATGGAAGGGGGAAATCTGATTTGCTTTAAGGGGACAATCTGATGGTGAAAGATGATGTAAGGGGCACTATGATGTAAGGGGCACTATGATGTAAGGGGCACTATGATGTAAGGGGCACCATGATGTAAGGGGCACTATGATGTAAGGGGCACTATGATGGAGACAACTGATGAAAGGGTGCACTTTGATGGGGACCTCCATGTAAGGGGAACTCTGTTGAGATCTCCTGATGCAAGGAGGAATCTGATGAGAAAGCCCTGATATAAGGGGGACTATGAAAGGGTTGCCTAACATAGGAGAGGAAAGGGTTCTGTTTCATCATTCGAATCGAATTACGGCTATAGTACTTGCACCTTTTGTGGGGGTTATCATTCCCCGTTCACTCTTGAACCACCTCCATGCTACCGGGAACTAATGTCAGATGCTACTTCTGGGCCGTGACCAGGGGCGAACTGGCAACTCATGGGCCCCCGGGCAATAAGGGATCATGGGGCCCCTGTGTCCTTGCCCAAACTCAAAAAAGCCTATGAAAAAGGTACCAGGACATACCCAAAAGGTACACATCTCATGGAGCCCCCTACTGACCCCAGACCCCAGTTTCCAAATGGTCAGTCCGCCCCTGGCCGTGACACGCGTGACCGATGACTACAATCAGCACTTTAAAAATAATTAATAAATCTGGGATAGCAGCCACTTTATAAAGGACAATGTACAGCCAGATGGGGATCTGATGGGGGAGACTTGTAGCTACATAGCAGAATATACCACAGATTCCAGAGAAAAACTCGAGGCCGAAGATTCCGGGTGTCCATCAATCATTGTAGAGTATCTGTACATCGGGTTTGACTTCTCCCTTAATTAGGATGAGAATATATACATTATTCATCGGTTATATAACTCTGAGCTCTGAACTCATTTACAAATTGGATGTTAATATCCTTCATTACCAACCCCATTTATATTTATATCATGTCATTGTCGTCAGAGAGGAAAGGGAAAGCTCATCGAAGGATGTCTCAGACCAAACAGCTGAACACCCACTTGAAGACAAAGCCATTTCTGGTACTTTTCGTTTACATGTAACAATCAGTATTTTTTGTGAGAAAATTTCTTAGAACTCCCCAAAATTATATATATATATATATATATATATATATATATATATATATATAGATATACAGTGGGGATCGAAAGTTTGGGCACCCCAGCTAAAAATGTGTATTAATGTGCATAGAGAAGCCAAGGAAAGATGGAAAAATCTCCAAAAGGCATCAAATTACAGATTAGACATTCTTATAATATATCAACAAAAGTTAGATTTTATTTCCATCATTTACACTTTCAAAAATAACAGAAAACAAAAAAATGGCATCTGCAAAAGTTTGGGCACCCTGCAGAATTTATAGCATGCACTGCCCCCTTTGCCAAGCTGAGACCTGCCAGTGTCATGGATTGTTCTCAATCATCGTCTGGGAAGACCAGGTGATGTCAATCTCAAAGGTTTTAAATGCCCAGACTCATCTGACCTTGCCCCAACAATCAGCACCATGGGTTCTTCTAAGCAGTTGTCTAGAAAACTGAAACTGAAAATAGTTGACGCTCACAAAGCTGGAGAAGGCTATAAGAAGATAGCAAAGCGTTTTCAGATGTCAGTATCCTCTGTTCAGAATGTAATTAAGACATGGCAGTCATCAGGAACAGTGGAAGTTAAAGCAACATCTGGAAGACCAAGAAAAATATCAGACAGAACAGCTCGCATAATTGTGAGAAAAACAATTCAAAACCCACGTTTGACTGCACGATCCCTCCAGAAAGATCTGACAGACACTGGAGTTGTGGTACACTATTCCACTATAAAGAGATACTTGTACAAATATGGTCTTCATGGAAGAGTCATCAGAAGAAAACCTCTTCTACGTCCTCACCACAAAAATCATCGTTTGAACTTTGCAAATGAACATATAGACAAGCCTGATGCATTTTGGAAACAAGTTCTGTGGACCGATGAGGTTAAAATTGAACTTTTTGGCCGGAATGAGCAAAGGTACGTTTGGAGAAGGGGCACAGAATTGAATGAAAAGAACCTCTGTCCAACTGTGAAGCATGGGGTTGGATCAATCATGCTTTGGGGTTGTGTTGCAGCCAGTGGCACAGGGAACATCTCACGAGTAGAAGGAAAAATGGATTCAATAAAATTTCAGCAAATTTTGGATGGTAACTTGATGCCATCTGTGAAAAAGCTGAAGTTAAAGAGGAAGCATGGCTTCTACAAATGGATAATGATCCTAAACACACCTCGAAATCCACGGGGGATTACATCAAGAGGCGTAAACTGAAGGTTTTGCCATGGCCTTCACAATCTCCTGACCTCAACATCATTGAAAATCTATGGATAGACCTTAAAAGAGCAGTGCGTGACAGACAGCCCAGAAATCTCAAAGAACTGGAAGACTTTTGTAAGGAAGAATGGGCAAAGATACCTCAAACAAGAATTGAAAGACTCTTTGGCTGGCTACAAAAAGCGTTTACAAGCTGTGATACTTGCCAAAGGGGGCAGTACAAGATATTAACTCTGCAGGGGGCCCAAACTTTTGCAGACGCCATTTTTTTGTTTTCTGTTATTTTGAAAGTGTAAATGATGGAAATAAAATCTAACTTTTGTTGACATATTATAAAGAATGTCTAATCTGTAATTTGATGCCTTTTGGAGATTTTTCCATCTTTCCTTGGCTTCTTTATGCACATTAATACACATTTTTAGCTGGGGTGCCCAAACTTTCGATCCCCACTGTATATATATATATATATATTACTTTATATAATATATATTACAAAAATATACCAAAAAGGATACCTAAAATCTGACTTGTATCTTAGTGCAGACTTCTGGGAAAATCAATCAGCCAATCAGACAAGCGGGAAGTGATATTTCTGGGGGGGGGGGGGGTCATACACCAGCTGTGTACAGAACACCTTCAGATTGCCATATTGTATTGAATTAAATGGAAAAAACTACAGCGGCTGCAGATTCAGCCCTCATGCTCACTGGGGGGACGGTTTTCTACCGCTGGTAACATTAGCTGTGTAAAGTCACATTAAAAAACGTGCGTTTTTCAGCTTTTTTAGCGTTTTTGCATTAGCGTTTAGCTTCGTTTTGCCGTGGTTAGCGGCATTTTTCTGCGTTTTCCATTCATTATATGGAAAACTACAGCGGCTGCAGATTGAGCCCTCATGCACACTTGACATTTTTCTACCGCTGGTAACATTAGCTGTGTAAAGCGTTTCTGCATTGCATTTTAGCTGCGTTTTTCCGCGTTTAGCAGCGTTTTTTTTCTGCCTTTAAAATTTTTTTTGCATTTTCTTGGGGCAAAAAAAAATTGGGGGGTAAAAAAAAAAGTCCAAAAACGCCAGTTTGTGGTGTTTTTCCACGTTTTTTTTTATCCTAGGTGTCCATACACACATAGGCTGCAAATTTGAACCCCACAATTTTTGGCTACTTGACGGTTTTTCTGCCGCTGGTTAAAAAAAATATGGGGTTTCTAAAGGATTTTTTCAACCCCACCAATAAACAATTAAAAAAAAAAAAAAATAAAAAAAAAGCTGTTTCTGCAATTACCTTTGTTTTTTTTGTTTTTTTTTTTAAAAAAAAACCTTTACCAAAAAAAACTAGCGTTTTTTGGTTTTTTTATTTTATTCCATTTTCCTAAAAACATTTTTTTGCATTTTCCTTGGGGCAAAAAAAAAAATAAAAAAACCTGGGGGGTAAAAAAAAAGTCCAAAAAACGCCAAATGTTTGTGGTGTTTTACCACGTTTTTAGCGTTATCCTAGGTGTCCATACACACATAGGCTGCAATCAAAATGGCTGGGACGGTTTTTGGCTTGAAAAAAAACCCCAAAACTAGTGGGTTTCCTCTAGAGGAGTTTTTCAGCTGTAAAAATGCATTTTTTACAGCTGAAAAACTCCTGAAAAAGCTGAAAAACTCCTCTAGACCCCACTAGGTTTGGGGGTTTTTTTCCAGCCAAAAACCATCCCAGCCAAAAAAACGTTGATTGCAGCCTATGTGTGTATGGACACCTAGGATAACATGCCGGGGGGTTTATTGACCGTAGAAAAAAAAACGTTAAAAATGCCAAAAACAGCTGCTGTCAAGTGTGCATGAGGGCTGAAAAGGAAAGGTCATTGTTATAACGTAAATTACAATATGGTTTGTGTAGCAATTTTATGTTCTAAAATTTTTTTTTTAATTTGCTATCATTTTTCCACAAAAGTGGAGTTACCCTTTAAGGGCGTGTGTCGATTGGCAGACGCGCTTTGCGTTCAGTTGTTTTTTTTTTTCGGCCAGCTTGAGATGTTTCTGATTCATTTAGATGCGTTTCATTTGGAGTAGACGTCCTTCTAAGATGAATCAGCTCAATATTTTGACTTTTTATATATATATTTTCATACCCTAGGACAGGGGTGGGCAACTGTGGCCCTCCAGCTGTTGTAGAACTACAAGTCCCATGAGGCATTGCAAAACTGACAGTTACAAGCAGGGGCGGACTGACAACTCATGGGACCCCCAGGCAATAGGGGATCATGGGGCCCCTGTGTCCTTGCCCAAACTCAAAAAAGCCTATGAAAAAGGTACCAGGGGCATCTCATGGGGCCCCCTACTGACCCCCGGGCCCTCGGGCAGTGCCAAATGGTCAGTCCGCCCCTGTATGGGAACATGTTCCACGTTCATCCCTCAGCTGTCAATCACCTGGTCCTGGCCGGGGATTTCTCGCCGGCACCCGGTGATCGTCGAATATCTCCGACGGGGAAGAGACCTGCGTATAAACAACACAGAGCTCTCCCCTGTCAGCTCCTGCACACTGCTTTGTATGGCTCTGCATAGCAGCATGCTCACAGTGAAATACTTTGTATGCAGACAGTTAACCCTTTGATCTCTCTTCATGTTAACCCCTTCCTGCCCAGTGCCATTAGTACAGTGTCAGTGCTTTTTATGACTACTGATCACTGTATTGGCGTCACCGGGGATGTTAGTGACATCAAGTCAGTCACCCCTCCCCCCAGTGTCAGAATGGCCGCCGCAATCCCGCTCTAAGTTTCCAAATGGTCAGTCCGCCCCTGGTTACAAGCATGGCTCCCAAAGGCAGAGGCATGATGGGACCAACAGCTGGAGGGCCACAGTTGCCCACTGCTGCCCTAGGAGACTCATTTTTTCCTGCAGGCTTTAAAATGAACAATCATCGGCCACAAGAAAAAAAAAATGTAAGCTTTTTATCGCGCCAACGCGTCCTGTTTATCACCTTATTTAAATAATTGTAGGTGTGGCCTTGTACTTTAGGTGGTTGATATAGTAAATATTATTAAAAGGGATTAAGAGAACAATAGGAGGTTGACATTTAACAAAATGCATATCACCGATTGAATCTAAATGCTGTTGACTGATGCGGCATAAATTGTATAAAATGAGGACAGACAAGCGCTACAACGAAAACATAATATATCTCACACCTACGGGGAAGTGAAGGAATAATGGCAACAAAATGTTCTATGATATCAGTGGATTTCAGTCCGTTCCATGACAACAGACATTGTAGTCAATACAGATGAACTCCATAGGAATCCCTAAACAGGACAAGGGTCGAATATAGGCCTTCCAACCTAACCAAGCCTGCTAGGCCACACCCTCCACCGTCCCAGATATACAAAATATGCAAACCAAGTTTTTGGAGTCAAAATGGCCATAGCAGCCTTTTATTAAACAATAAATTATTTCAACATAAATAACATAACATTCCAAACTATATTCAGAGGAAAAAACGTGGTGGTCATCTGAGGGCCATAAACCCAACTTCACTTTTGTGGAAAAATTCCTTTAACTTAGGCCCCAGCCGCAACTCCACTAGCTCGAGGACAATCCTACTTATCCCCAGCCGCAACTCCACCGGCTCTGGGACAATCCTACTTATCTCCAGCAGCAACACACCAGCTCAGGGACAATCCTACTTATCTCCAGCAGCGCAACCCACTGGCTCGGGGACAATCCTACTTATCTCCAGCAGCAACCCACCGGCTTGGGGACAATCCTACTTATCTGCAGCCGCAACCCACCGGCTCGGGGACAATCCTACCTATCTCCAGCCGCAACCCCCGGCTTGGGGACAATCCTACTTATCTCCAGCCACAACCCACCGGCTCGGGGACAATCCTACTTATCTCCAGCCGCAACCCACCGGCTCGGGGACAATCCTACTTATCCCCAGCCGCAACCCACCAGCTCGGGGACAATCCTACTTATCTCCAGCCGCAACCCACCGGCTCGGGGACAATCCTACTTATCTCCAGCCGCAACCCACCAGCTTGGGGACAATCCTACTTATCTCCAGCCGCAACCCGCCGGCTTGAGGACAATCCTACTTATCTCCAGCCACAACCCACCGGCTCGGAGACAATCCTACTTATCCCCAGCCGCAACCCACCGGCTCGGAGACAATCCTACTTATCCCCAGCCGCAACCCACCGGCTCGGGGACAATCCTACTTATCCCCAGCCGAAACCCACCAGCTCGGGGACAATCCTACTTATCTCCAGCCGCAACCCACCGGCTCGGGGACAATCCTACTTATCCCCAGCCGCAACCCACCGGCTCGGGGACAATCCTACTTATCTCCAGCCGCAACCCACCGGCTCGGGGACAATCCTACTTATCTCCAGCCGCAATCCGCCGGCTCGGGGACAATCCTACTTATCTCCAGCCACAACCCGCCGGCTTGAGGGGACAATCCTACTATCCCCATCCGCAACCCACCGGCTCGGAGACAATCCTACTTATCCCCAGCCGCAACCCACCGGCTCGGAGACAATCCTACTTATCCCAGCCGCAACCCACCGGCTCGGGGACAATCCTACTTATCCCCAGCCGCAAACCCACCAGCTCGGGGACAATCCTACTTATCTCCAGCCGCAACCCACCGACTCGGGGACAATCCTACTTATGTCCAGCCGCAACCCACCGGCTCGGGGACAATCCTACTTATCTCCAGCCACAACCCACCGGCTCGGGGACAATCCTACTTATCTCCAGCCGCAACCCACCGGCTCGGGGACAATCCTACTTATCTCCAGCCGCAACCCGCCGGCTTGAGGACAATCCTACTTATCTCCAGCCACAACCCACCGACTCGGGGACAATCCTACTTATCTCCAGCCGCAACCCATCGGCTTGGGGACAATCCTACTTATCTCCAGCCGCAACCCACCGGCTTCGGGACAATCCTACTTATCTCCAGCCGCAACCCACCAGCTCGGGGACAATCCTACTTATCTCCAGCCACAACCCACCGGCTTCGGGACAATCCTACTTATCTCCAGCCGCAACCCACCAGCTCGGGGACAATCCTACTTAACCCCAGCCGCAACCCACCGACTCGGGGATAATCCTACTTATCCACAGTGACCACCATTTTACCTATTCCGAGTTAACCCCTTGTTAACCAGAATGTACCAAGGTCCCCATACCACTGATGGGTCCCGAAACTGTCTCCATACAGAATTTCTACCTCCTCCAAAGACCAACCCACCGTTACAAAACTTGGTGGTCATTTGAGGGCCATAAATCCAACTTCACTTTTGCAGAAAACATTCCTTCAACTTAGGCCCCCAGCGCAACCCACCGACTCGGGAACAATCCTACCTATCCCCATCCGCAACCCACCGGCTCAGGGACAATCCTACTTATCCCCAGCCGCAACCCATCGGCTCGGGGACAATCCTACTTATCTCCAGCCGCAACCCACCGGCTTGGGGACAATCCTACTTATCTCCAGCCGCAACCCACACAATCCTACTTATCCCCAGCTGCAACCCACCGGCTCAGGACAATCCTACTTATCCCCAGCTGCAACCCACCGGCTCGGGGACAATCCTACTTATCCGCAGTGACCACCATTTTACCTATTCCGAGTTAACCCCTTGTTAACCAGAATGTACCAAGGTCTCCATACCACTGATGGGTCCCGAAACTGTCTCCATACCTCCTCCAAAGACCAACCCACTGTTACAAAACTTGGTGGTCATTTGAGGGCCATAGATCCAACTTCACTTTTGCAGAAAACATTCCTTCAACTTAGGCCCCCAGCCGCAACTGCACCGACGCAGGGACAATCCTACTTATCCCAATCCGCAACCCACCGGCTCAGGGACAATCCTACTTATCCCCAGCCGCAACACACCAGCTTGGGGGCAATCCTACTTATCCCCAGTGGCAACCCACCGGCTCAGGGATAATCCTACTTATCCCCAGCTGCAACCCACCAGCTCAGGGACAATCCTACTTATCCCCAGCCGCAACCCACTGGCTTGGGGACAATCCTACTTATTTCCAGCCGCAACCCACCGGCTCGGGGACAATCCTACTTATCTCCAGCTGCAACCCACCGGCTCACCTATTCCAAGTTAACCCCTTGTTAACCGGAATGTACCGACATCCCCATACCACTGATGGGTCCCGAATCTGTCTCCATACAGAATTCTTTCCTCCTCCAAAGACCAACCACCGCCAAGGCCACCGTGACAATCCAAACCAAAGCACAGAGGGGAGGGATGGTGGGAAGCGTCTTCTTCTTCCAACTTCCCCCACTGGACTTCATGAGATCAAACACTCTTTTTCTTCCATGTGAACCCTCCCCAACATCAGCATCCAATCAGGTAAGCCATACTCCCAAAAATGCCTACCCTTCTTTTAACCCTATATGTTGTCCCTCTATTCCCCCCAGTCATGTCGTCCCTGCGCTTAATTTGTTTTTTTTTTGGCTCATTATGAAATTGAGTCTGACACCCTTGATCTAGACCAGGGGTGGCCAAACTTTTTGACTTGAGGGCCGCAATGGGTTCATATATTGGACACGGGGGCTCGGACCAAGAGTAGATGATGATGATGTGTATGTGTCATCCATAGTAAGTATTCTTTAGTAATATTCCCCCATAGTAAGCATAGTAATTAATCCCCCATAGTAATTAATCCCCCATATAGTAATTCATCCCCCATATAGTAATTCATCCCCCATAGTAATTCATCCCCCATATAGTAATTCGTCCCCCATATAGTAAAAATCGTCCCCCATATAGTAATTCGTCCCCCATAGTAATTCATCCACCCTATAGTAATTCATCCCCCATAGTAATTCATCCCCATATAGTAATTCATCCCCATAGTAATTCATCCCCTACACATAGTAATTCATCCCCCATATTAATTCATCCCCCATATTAATTCATCCCCCATATCAGTAATTCATCCCCCATATAGTAAGTCCTCCATATAGTAATTCATTCCCCATATAGTAAGTCCAACCATATAGTAATTCATTCCCCCATATAGTAAGTCCCCCATATAGTAATTCATTCCCCATATAGTAAGTCCCCCATATAGTAAATTCATCCCCCATATAGTAAGTCCCCCATATAGTAAGTCCCCCCCCCTGTGTCAATTCACTTACCTTTGGTCCGCGCGTTCCTCTCGTATTCCCGCGCCGTTCTGGTCTTCAGGGAGGACTGTGAGAGGAGTTCGTCACGCTGCCCCGCCTACATTCTGGCTGCCCCGCCTACATCCTGACAGCTGCAGAGTCCTGACGTTCCGAGAGGAGGGAGGGGGGCGGCCATCCGAGAGGGGGGGCGGCCATCCGAGAGGAGAGGAGGGGAGAGGAGGGCCCAGGGGAGCGGGCGCCCGGCACACAGGAGAGCCGCATCTAAATTTGTAAAGAGCCGCGGCTTGCCGACCACTGGCCTTGCGGGAGCCTAGCTCCGCGCTGGGAGGATTAAAAGGTCCGCCGGGCCGTATACGGCCCGCGGGCCGTAGTTTGCCCATTGCTGATCTAGAAGCTGACCCTGTCCTCCCCAGCTTTTCCTCATGCCCTGCTCTGCCCCAATAGATTTAACCAGTCCTGCCCAGCTAGTTTTGTGTGACTATCCTGCCCTACTTCCACCTCTTGCACACAAAGTAATCATGTTATACATCATGTTATACTATTAAGTGTATACATAGCAAAACATTTTTCCTTCTTTGCTCCGGTTTTCTTATACTATTGTTATTCTTTACTGAATTATAATTTATAATTTGCCTATTGTTAGTTGCAGCGTTCATTGTTGCCCTCCCTATAATTAAAATTATATTTATACCATGGCACCATAATCACCAGTCTACTCA